GTTGAGATAATGTATAAACTATAATTTAAAGTATGTGTTCTCTACATGATATTAAGAGACAAATATCCTTATTTAATAATAGGTTAGCAATATAGAACACAAAGGCTATCATAGGCGGTTTGAAATGGATTAAAACATAAATGACAAGTTGATTTCCTTTCTAAAACAACAGTCGGAATAATAAGTTGTTGGTTACTATGGATACGGGGCTATTTTATGCTATTTATCACGAAAAGGGAGCATTTCTGTAGTTTTCATATAACAGATAGTTGAGGTAGACGACTCTCCGTGTTTTTTATTTTACAGACTTCCTACAGTTTTATAACAAATAAATCATTTCATGTTTGTCTTTCATTATACAAGAGCTATTCATAGAAAAGAGGTTTTTTGTAGAAAGGAGCTATTCTCATCGTTTGAATATCATCATTATGTGATAGATATAGACAGGTGTATTATACATGTATAAGGTGTTAGTTATAGACATTTATAGTATAGTAAAGCCTTAAGATATCCTAATACCATAAGGTATTATTTCTAGACAGTTATTATTATATATAACAAAAAATGAAATTATTTTAGAGACAGGTATTATATGTATAATGCCATTATGTGATATATATATATATTTACAGGTGTATTCTACATATAAGGTGTTAGTTATAGACATTTATAATATAGTAAAACCTTAAGATATCCTTTATAGACTTTGATATCATAGCTAATACCATAAGGTGCTATGTCTGGACAGTTATTATATATATTACGCCATAAAATATTATTTTAGAGACAGGTATTATATGCGTAATGACAATATTTGTTATTTATAGACAGGCATTATATAAACAACACCAAATTGTGTTATCTATAGCCAGCTATTATGTTTACACCATCTGTTGCACAATCAAGGGATTTTTCATAGACATGCAGTCAATTACTGTGAAATATATAGAAACATTTGTCTACAGTATTTTCTACATGAATATCGACGTACATGCGCCTGTAATAAGATATCATCTATAACACTACATTTTTGTTACAGATTACAGCAGTAGCGCTACTTTCGGTGGGCAGGCACCGGAACAAGAATGTAGCCTTGTGGGATGCTTTGATACTGAGAGAGCATGCATGAACGAATGTGATCTTTATAACTGTGGGGAAGGATGCTCGTATCATGAAGATCTCGAGAAGTACACGTGCGACTGCGTTCAATTCGTCTATAAATAAACCATCAAGGACGTCACACATATTTGTGTTTATGCTTCCATAGATGATGCTGTCAGTAACTCAATCAGGCGTGTGACGTCAGTAGTTCTATTTGTAAATAATAGTTAAGATCAATACCAAGAAGAATTATGTTTAAATATCCAGTAACTTCCCTTACGTAATTCTTGTTATGGAAATAAAGATAAAATGTTTACACGTGTTGTTTTTGATGGAGGTTTTTAAACATTGATGGACACATTAGTATGTTATATGCGGTGAATTGCGTTCCTGAATATTACAAAACTGACATAGATACTGCATGAATAAAAAAAAA